TGCAGGTGCCCCTTCAGATCATTTGTAACTTTGGGGTAAATAACTAGTAGTTCAATTGCTGGGTCATAGGGTAGGTCTATTTTCAACATTTTGAGGAACCTCCGTACTGTTTTCCAGAGTGGCTGCACCAGCTTGCATTTCCACCAACAGTGTAGGAGGGTTACCCTTTCTCCACATCCTCACCAACATCTGTTGTTTACTGTCTTGTTAATTCTAGCCATTCTGACTGGTGTGAGGTGGTATCTCATTGTGCTTTTGTGTTTCCCTGATGCCAAGTGATGTTGAGCATTTTTTCATGTCTGTTGACCATCTGTATGTCTTCTTTGGAGAAATGTCTGTTCGTGTCTTCTGCCCATTTCTTGATAGATTATTTGTTCTTTGGGTGTTGAGCTTGATAAGTTCTTTATAGATCTTGGATACTAGCCCTTTATCTGATGTTATTTGTAAATATCTATATTAATTAATATTAATGTAGTGTATCACATTGATTGATTTGCGGATGTTGAACCACACTTGCAACCCAGGAATAAATCCCATTGGTCATGGTGAATAATCCTTTTAATGTACTGTTGGATCCTATGGGCTAGTATCTTGGTGAGAATTTTGGCATCCATGTTTATCAGGGATATTGGTCTGTAATTCTCCTTTTTGATGGGGTCTTTGTCTGGTTTTGGGATTAAGGTAATGCTGGCTTCATAGAAAGAGTTTGGAAGTTTTCCTTCCATGTATATTTTTTGAAACAGCTTCAGAAGAATAGGAATTAATTCTTCTTTAAATATTTGGTAGAATTCCCCTGGAAAGCCATCTAACCCTGGACTCTTGTTTGTTGGGAGATTTTTGATTACGGCTTCAATTTCCTTGCTGGTTATGGGTCTGCTCAGGTTTTCTATTTCTTCCTGTTTCAGTTTTGGTAGTTTATAAGTTTCCAGGAATGTATCCATTTCTTCCAGATCGCCTAATTTGTTGCCATATAGTTGCTCATAACATGTTCTTATGACTGTATTTCCTTGGTGTTGGCTGTGTTCTCTCCTCTTTTATTCATGGTTTTATTAATTTGGGTCTTTTTTTCTTTTTGATCAGTCTGGCTAGGGGTTTACTGATCTTATTAATTCTTTCAAAAAACCAGTTTCTAGTTTCGTTGATCTGTTCTGTTTTTTCATTTCTATTTAGTTGATATCTGCTCTAATCCTTATGATTTCTGGTCTCCTGCTTGGTTTAGGCTCTATTTGCTGTTCTTTCTCCATGTCCTTTAAGTGTAAGGTTAGTTTGTGTATTTAAGACTTTTCTAGTTTCTTGAGAAAGGCTTGCATTGCTATGTACTTCCCTCTTAGGACTGCCTTTGCTGTATCCCAAGGGTTTTGAACAGTGTGTTTTAATTTTCATTTGTTCCCATGAATTTTTTAAAATTTCTCTTTAATTTCCTGGTTCAATTCATTGTTTAGTAGGATACTTTTTAGCTTCCATGTATTTGAGTTCCTTCCAAATTCCCTCTTGTGATTGAATTTAAGTTTCAAAGCACTGTGGTCTGAAAATATGAAGGGAATAATCCCAATCTTTTGGTACCAGTTGAGTCCTGACTTGTGACCCAGGATGTGATCTATTCTGGAGAATGTTCCATGTGCACTCAAGAGTATTCTGTTGTTTTAGGATGGAATGCTCTGTATATATCTGTGAAGCCCATGTGGTCCAGTGTGTCATCCAAAGCCCTTGTTTCCTTGTTGATCTTCTGCTTAGATGATCTATCCATGCTGTGAGTGGGGTGTTAAAATCCTCTACTATTATTGTATTATTATCAATGTGTTTAATTTTGTTATTAATTGGTTTATATATTTTGCTGCTCCTAAGTTGGCACATAAATATTTATAATTGTTAGATCTACTTTTTGGATAGACCCTTTAAGTATGATATAGTGTCCCTCTTCATCCCTTACTACAGTCTTTGGTTTAAAATCTAATTTGTCTAATATGAGGATTGCTACCCCAGCTTTCTTTTGATGTCTATAAGCATAATAAATGGTTCTCCAGAGCGCCTGGGTGGCTCAGTTGTTTAAGCGACTGCCTTCGGCTCAGGTCATGATCCTGGAGTCCCGGGATC